GGAAAATTTGATCAAACTCACAATCGGGAAACAAGGTTTCCTGAAATCTATTTTGTATAGTATAGGGCATACAAATTATGCTGAAGATCTACAAGATAGGAGGACTTGTGCTTTTTGTATCCATATCAAATCCGAATCGGTTATTCTATAGAGGAACGAGAATTGCAAAGATGGAGCGATTTTGATCAATCGTGATCGCACAAACAATGCCATTCAATACTCAATTCAATTCTACAGCAATTAAAAAGTTCATCTAATACACAAAGTTTGCATTCCGCATCTATAAAACAGTTATAATCTAACCATACCAAACATTTATGTACACTGCTCCGCTATGAGTTTCGCCAATCGTATGCGTCTTTCCCTTGACTTTTTCAAATCTCTAATTCTGGAATATCCCATCAAGGAATGTTAGTATTAGGAAAGAACCCGATAGTTTGAAAACATCACTATCAATGCTAAAGATCCCACTGTCACCAAGATTATTGGTATAGTTTGGTATAGTTCCATAAGCATGCCCTTCAATAAGCACTGTCAAGTTTTGAACAACCAGAAACATCACTTTTGACTCTCTACAACTTACTTCTCTCTTGATCTGTATATTTGCCTGAAGCCAAAGGAGAATCATCAGCATAGAAAATTACATGCTTTCTCTCAAACAGAATTCGATATATCTAGACTCGAGCTGTTCTGCAAAAGAATTTCTCAGAGAAACATGCCATGATACAGTATAATTCCACCCCCCTCCCCCCTTCAATATCTCTTCTCCAATCCCATCTCTCACCTATGAATTTTCAATTCTTAGACCATCAACCTCTCATCTCCACACACCGCCAGTAATCACCATCACATCCCTCTTCTTCCTCTCCTACCAACACCAAGTACCCATCCATAAACCCCACAACTCCCAGTCAAAACCAAAACATCTACAAAAACACAACATAGTGCATCTGGGAATCGTCCACTCATCGACATCAGGGTATCTATATCAATGCAGAATAATTCCGAATGATCTATTATACGGCCCGTTAACTCTGCATCAAGCGCAGGAATCTCCTACCAAATAAAACGCATGTCAGAATCTAGACGACGTATCTCCAAGTTGTCTTTTCTATCGAGGAGAAGCCTTGGGAAATAAAATACACCCACCGTATTTGTGACTACCTAGTAAGTATGTTGCTGATCTCCCCCCTTCCCCAAAGATCCAGAAACCAATAATCCCTCTATCTTTTTCTCGTCATATTCTCAAAATTTGATTTCTTCTCTTTACCTTCGTCATTAGCATCGGACTTCCCACCCCTCACTATCAATCCCTCTCACTATCAATCCTCCTCATCACCAATCCCTCCTCTCCCACAGGATATCAAATATCAAATATCAAACACCAATTCACCCCCCCAATCTCCCTTCCTCCCTCCTCCCAACCCCACACTTATACATATACACATCAACTAATCCCAACCCCACATACCCATCTCCCCCCCAAAAACTGCACTGCACAACCCAAAAATCAAAATCAAACCACCACCCACCCTAATACAATTTCAATTTCGTACATATACTCAGATAGTAAATAGATATACTATAATATAATATCATAATTTAAATAAATATAAAGAGAATTACTTAGATACTCACATTTACCCATCTCTACTTTTATAGTATAATAGTCAGGGAATGAAGAAAAGAGATTATGGTATTGAGTTGGATATTACATATTACATATTGAAGATGAATTTCTCCTCGTAGTCGAGTTTTGATCGGATGCGAGAATGGGTTTTAGTTGTAAGAGACTGTATTTCTTTCTACTCCGTCTACACTCTATCATCCCTCTATCCCGCTATATCTAACTACTATAACATCCTCCTTCCCCCTTCCCTTAAACCACAACCTCATCCCAATTTCCAAAACGCATCTAAAAATTAGATAAAATTCCTTCTCTACCCATCAAAAATTCATTTCATTTCATCTCATCTCACCTCACTTCTCTTAATCTCTAGCACAAATCTATAATCTACCTGTATTGATTTTCTGACATTTAGAATCTAGAGAGATCAATATAATATAATATGAGATATAAATTTAGATCAACACCGATATGGGAAATATTAATATTATTATGAATTAGGTATATTTACATTTAAGTTATATTATCCGTATCATTATATTATTACCATCATATCCGACTAGGTAATTATTTCATCTTCCTAATTAACTAGTATTATCAATCACCACCCACCCAACCTCCCCACCTCCAAACCTCCAAACCATCTATCCATCTCACAACCAACAAGCGAGGAAATTCCCCTCTCCCTCACTACGAGTCTCCTCTAATCTCATATATATCATATACGTCGTTTTGATGTAATACTACTTCTTTAATAAATCTCTAATATTATTTCGTCTTATTATATAGAGTTTTATAGCGCAAATTCCAAATCTCAAATCCTAAATCTCAAATCCTAAATTTACCTATCGATTCTTTTTTAAAGAATTCAAAAAAAGTCCTTTTAAAATTTAAATATATATTAAATTAAATCAATCAATTTAATAATATACCATACTATATCATACTATACTATACCTAGGTATCATACCATACCATACCCACCCACCCATTAATACACTACACTTACCTTCAACCACCCAAACCTCCAATCCCTCTCAAACCTTCCCCCTCCAACTCCCCTCCAAACTCCCCCTCCAACTCCCCCTCCAATCCCAATCCTAACCCAAAGAAATAACTAATAAACTAACAACAAGTACTTTCTCTCCCAATCACCTAATATCTATTACCCCATTCCCCATTCCCCATTCCCATTCCCCATTCCCCATTCCCCATTCCCCATATCCCTCGATTAAAATCAATACGCATCCCCTCGATCCAAAAATCAATTCCCCTTCTTTCCCTCTTCTTTCTCCCTCTTCTTTCTCCCTCTTCTTTCTCCCTCTTCTTTTCTCCCTCTTCTTTCTCCCTCTTCTTTCTATTAATCAATCTCCTATTTTGCTAGATAGATAGATATATATATACTTCACTCACTTGATATACTCAGTATACTCACACTCAGTACACTCACGTTACTCACTCCACTCATTCCACTCTGCTCAGCACACTCCACTCAGCACACTCACACGCAGCATACTCCAATCTCATACTCAATCCTCAATCTCAATCTCAATCTCAATCTCAATCTCAATCTCTCCTCTCCCCTTCATCTATCCCCTTCATCTATCCCCTTTATCTATCCCCTTCATCTATCCCCTTCATCTATCCCCCTTCATCTATCCCTTCAATCTATCCCCCTTCATCTTCCCCTTCATCTATCCCCTTCATCTATCCCCTTCATCTATCCCCTTCATCCACCCCCTCACCTCTCCTCCCTCACCTCTCCTCCCACTTCATCCCCACCTCTCCCTCCATCCACAACATCCACAGCATCCAAAATATCCTCTAAATTCTCCCAAATCCTCCCAACCCCCCCTCCCCCACAACTCCCATTTTACTCTTCCACTTTTCTACTCTTCCAATGTCCTCTTCTACTCTTTACTCCTCACTCTCCCACACCTTCATTCTTCCACTCCTCCACTCCTCTACTCTTTCACCCTCACCTCCCTCACCTCCACTCCCTCACCTCCATCCCATCCCAGTTCACCTCCCACACTTCACCTCTCATACTCCACATTCCATCTTCTAAATTCTAAATTCTAAATTCTACCCTCCTACCCTCCTACCCCCCTATTTCTCATCCCTCCTACCACCCTATCTCTCATCCCTCCTACCCCCCTATTTCTCATCCCATCCCATCTCCATCCACCCATCCCACTCAATACAATACAATACCACAATAAATTCCTCCCCTTCACTCTCCAAACCCTAACCACTCAACTAACATAACAAGATAACAAAACATTAATACATCCTCAAAATCTAATCTTCTCATTACTCCCCCTTCTCTCCAACCTATCTAGATATCTAGATATATAAAACTACCATTCCCATTTCTCATTCTTTCAATTAGCACCCAACTTACCCTGCCCCTTTCCCATCCTATCAAATTCAACCATCAAAGCTTAAACTCACACATCACATCACAAGAATCTCACAAACCCCCTCAAACCATGATAAAACTTATTTTTCTTATTCTTATTCTTATTCTTATTCATATCCCTATCCCTATCTAACCACTAAATATCTCCACTTCCCAAGTCAAACTTAATCACATCTCCCCTCCCATCATCTCATATCCACATATGAATATCATCTAATCTCAAAACCAGATCAATCAAATAATGAATGAGACCTAGCAAAAATTCTCCTTCCACAGATTCCTCATCTACAACCCCAAAATACTACCGCTCAATAATAGCAAAACCAATCCTAATCAACCAAACCACTCAAATGGAAGGATGATATAAAAAAAGCCATCGAATCGATTCAAAGCACAGCTCTTTCTTGGCTCAATGTCTCATGCCAACCAATTGAAATTTATCACCAATTCATCTCACTTCCCATTCTTTCCTCCCCCTAAATCAATCTTTCCATCAATGACTAGCATTGAAACCTGAAAGTCTCAACTCACACCCAACATAACATGTTTCCTAGAATAGAAAGGTATCTCAAAAGTAAAAAGCTCCGTCGTAGAAAAGAAGAATGTTCATAGATACACATTATTGTTATTAGCCCATGTAATAAGTGTATTAAATTTGGTTCTGAACTCCTCCGAAAGAACAACGTAAAAAAAAAACACCATCCACAAAAGAATTGCAAATTTGGTGCGAAAGAAGTGAAGAAAGAAAATATTGAACTTTGCTAAACGATTTGATGAAAATGCGCCAATAAAAACTTGTGTACATTCGTCGTTCTGTTCATATCGAATTTTGTCTGATCAATTCGATTCCCATTTGCGCCATATGTAAGACCCTATCTTTGTACTTGAAGGAAGTCTATATTGGGATATAGATAATCTGTTCATCCCATATTCGTTTGATAGGTGGGTAAATTACAGGGCTTGACCTGGAACAGGCTTTCGCTCCACTGGACTTCTGATGTTTGGAGCAGATGGTGGAGATGAAGGACTATCTGTTGGCGCGGATGTAATCAATGTAGGACTTGGTTGTCTAGAGATAGGATCGGTATCCGAATCACTTCGAGCACGTCCTTCACTTTGTGGAGCCACTTCATGATTTGGTGGAGTGGTTGGTCGTTGTTCGGTCGCCTGACCTTGTGGAGTCATTGGTCTTGGAGCAGATGAGCCTTGAGGTGTCATTGGTCTTTGTTGATTTGGGTGATTGGGAGGGACCATTGGTCGTTGACCTTGTGGAGTCATGGGTCTATTACCAGCTGGTGACATGGATCTTGGAGGACCTTGCATCATACCAGGGCCACGAGGAGGGCCTTGTCCATTTGGACCCATTGGTCTTGGTGGTCCAGCTGGGGACATAGATCTCGGGGGACCTTGCTTCATGCCAGGGCCACGGGGAGGGCCTTGTCCATTTGGTCCCATGGGTCTTGGAGGTCCATTGGGTGGTCCATTTGGTCTCATTGGAGAAGATGGATAAGGTGGACCGCCATCCTTGTTCGGAACGCGAGGAGGACCTTGATTCATACCAGGTGACATGGGACGTTGCTGAGGACCAGGTTGTTGAGGGCGTGGTTTAACAGGACGAGTAGAGAGACAAGTTCGAGGAACGACACCTTGTTTAGAACGATCGAGACGAATGCAAAGAGCCTGTGTTCAATCAGTATGTGTAATTTAGAGTAAAATGTTTCATGGAAACTTACCCATCCATCATCATATTCATGCAAAATTCGGATCAATTGGCCAGCTTTCAATTCAAGTTCATCATCCATGGAAGGAACGAAATCAAGTTGAACTCGGTGAACAGTAGTATTAGGAGGACCTCCAGCTGCAGCAATAGCCAAACCGGTTACAGATTGAGCTTGAGTAGCACCTGATGCAGTACTGAATTCAGAACCAGAAGGACTTGGTGGGCTCAAAACTGTGTTGGGCTTAGTAGTGAAATCCATTTTGAGACCATTACCGGCTTTAGAAGCACTACGAGCTAAACCAACTGGCTTGAGAGGGGCTGGAGCTGGAGAATTAGAAGCATGAGACGATGCAGCAGCAGCAACGACAGCAGAAGTAGCAATTACTTCACCTCCGTCGTTGAAACCTTCGATAATAGGTGGGCCATTGGTGTTAGGGGTATCGATAGATTCAGCGTGGTTACCAAATGGATTGTTCCTGTTCTGGTCTTGAGGTTGTTGTGAGTGATAGCTAGGCGCAGTTGACACTGGGGTTAACATGCCACCCATTTGAGAAGGTGCTTGACTGGCTCCAGTTTTCTCATTGAAGGGTTGGAATTGTGTCACAGGGCGGAGAGATAGACGATGAGCGGCTGTTGCTGCAGCTGCTCCTCCTCCATTTGAACGTTGACTTGCTTGACGTTGAACTTCTACGCGTGTGGCTTCCGCGCGACGAGCTGATGACGCTACCATGGCAGATTTCTCATCATCAAGACGTTCAGCCTTGGCCGCTTGCTTCTTCTTTCTGAAGAAAAATAAAAGGAGAGCAAGTCCAACTCCAAACAATAACAAAATACCAATAACCAATCCTGCTTTACCACCAGCACTCATACCGGAACTCGATGTATCTGCTGCAGCAGTGGAGGAAGCATTGGCCGAGGAAGCACCCGTAGAGGAGGCGACTGCGGTGCTTGTCGGTACATTATCGGTGGCTGCGAGAAGAGCAACCGAACTTCCTACCGACGTAGTGGCGACGAGGGAACTGGGAAGTTCGGAAGAAGTGGAAGAACTGGAAGCGGAGGTTTTCAGAGTCGAGGCAGAAGTGGTTGTGTGACTTGCACTTGAAGAAGTAGCAGTGGTCTTGGCGGCTGTAGTTTTAGTTGAGGAGTGTGTCTCTTCAGCCGATGATGTTGTTTCATCTTCTTGTCCGACCGTTGAGTAACCTGCGATCGATCCGCTAAAGGTTGGTGAAGCGGTGACATAAACAACCGATACAATTGTTTGTAAAGCTGGTTCTGGATCTGGTTGCCTGACCTCAATTGGTGCTGCCATGATATCTTCCTGATTTAATTCGGCGCGCTTCGCATGACGTGCATGTTGATGAGAACGACCTTTCATCTTGAGCGATTTGAAGATCTGTGGATTGAGTATGGATTGGATTGTGGGTGGACGTCAATAAATATTTTCGAGACAGTAGTATCCTTTCGCTCCGACGGGATCTCTTGTTGATCGTGTACGATAGTGGTATGATTATTGTAATAATCGACTAGGTATTCATCTAATGACTGTATGTGGATTGTATTCGAAAAGAAGGGAATGGGAGTCAATCGCGTTTGAAGGTTGGTGTAAAGAATGTAATCCAATTATTGAATTTCCCGTCGCAGAGAGTGACTGTGTGTGTGAATGGACGGAGCAATGATTATTTTTCAATAATTATCAAAGCAACCCAAGGATTAATGGAATTATTGACCGATTGAAGTTGATTTACCCTCGTCGATAAAGGAAGGACGACGAGATAGAGTTAATCTTGACTCTAAAAGATTGGGGGTGGGAAGGAAAAAGCAACGATGGTGGTGAAATTGAAAAGAGGGAGAGGTTGAGGGTGGAAGAGAGAGAGAGGAAAGGGTAGAGAGAAAGAGTGGATTGGATTGGATTGGATGTGAATGGTAGGTGGTGAGTGATTGGGTGGTATGGGTGGTATGGGTGGTACATATGGGTGGTATGGGTGGCATGCATGTGGTATGTGGTGGGTGGTACAGAGTACAAGCGTGAGAGAATAATTCTACTACGAGTCTAGTCTACCACAGGAAAAAGGGTTCGTCTCTTCTTTTGCGCGGATATCCAAGGTGGTGGTGTGCATTGGAGCGGATTGCGGAGAAATGATGAGAATTCCACCCCAGTGTCATAAACCAATGTCCATTCCAGTAAGGTTGATCCGAATTCATTTAATCCCTTGATCCAACTATTTCCTCTTGCGGTAAGATCGATTTGTGACAATTACAGAAATACTTGGGATGTCCCGTGGTTTGCTTGATTTATGACCATGATCCAGGGATTCAGATTATACGGTAGTCCGAATCGAGTTAAGCTCCAGGAACCAGACACGGACCTATCCGATGCAAGGTGAGATGTGATTGGCGAACGGGCAGAAAATGAAATGAGGATTCTTGATGATTGTCAAGGGTGTTTCAACAGGAACCTATCACTTACCTTGATTGAGACTAGGTCTGGTGAATTGGGTTAGCTTGGCTGTCTAACCCCCCTTGCATGCTGGTAATGTGGCATGCATAATCAGGAACAGGAACAGGAATAGATAGGAAATGGGAAAGTGATTCGTTTGTTGAACGGTAAATCATAAATGATGAGTGAATGAATCAAAATTTCAAAATGAAGGGATTGAGAGGGTGTGTAATGAGTGAATGTGAGTGTGAGTGTGTGAAGAAAGAGTCAAGAACCCGTGACATGAAGAAATATACGACCAATGCGATTGTAGTAGGTACCTTGGTAGTATATGTTAACAAGTATCATATCATTCTTCAACATTCACACATATCAACCTACTAGGTAGATACTTCTCAATCAATCAATCATAAAAATCATAACACAATATATCCTCATCCCTCATCCGAGGTAATTCCTTACCTACCTACCCATCTCTCCTCCGTAACATCAACAATCTTCAACCTTATCATCTCAAGCATCGAAAGCCACGTATTCGTTAATTTATAAGCGCTTCCGTCCCTACTATAATTCCTTGCTCCCGAACCTCCAGCTCTCTTAACATAAACTATCTAGGTAGAGTCCTAGATATTCATCTAGAGAAATTTCCCCTTTACATTTTATTAAAGCCGTTGAACTTTGGAGTGAAGATGATTAATCATACTATCTAGGTAGGTGTATACCTATCCATATCCATATATATATATATATGTATTATGAAAAAATCCGACATCCGAGTGGTATTGACATCAGCCGGTTGTATTCAGACAATGTAAGATTACGATTCAGGAGTACAGACTGTACAGTAGATTATAACCATCTCATCACAAGTGAAAAACTAAAATAAATCTTTTTCCGTATTTCCCTTTTTAATATTATGACAATCTATCTACCTACTAGGTAACTATCTATCTAACCCAATCTACAGAGTATACCCATAAACATCACACCACCATCATCATCGTCGCCTCACAAACCCCAACCCCAACTCACAGACAAGATCTACGACGATCCCCCAAGTACACTACGGAGTAACCATGAACTAATAAAATCATTCCATTCTCCTCTTTCCTTTCCACTTTCGATTTTCCACAGTAGGTACCTCTGTACATACATACACTCAAAAATACATACATTCATCCATCCATACAAACAAACAACCTTTTCTCCCTCCCCTCCCAATCCCCAATTCCATTCCCATATCATATTATACATATCATACATATCACATCCAATCATCCACTGGGCACCTACTTCATATCAAACCACATACATCACAGCTGGAACACCCAAACAACCCAACACCCAAACAACCCAACACCCAAACAACCCAACACCCAAACACCCCCCCTCCAAAAAAAAACCTCATCACAAGTTCACAACCACAGCGATCCTCATAATTCCTCTTCCCCCCAAAAAAACACCTACATATTTAAAATTACACAAGACAACGATCGACACAGAGGCTTAGATCCATCCACTAGCCCCATTTTATCGTTTGTCGCGTGGAGCACGTGCTTGCTTGCTTGCTTGCTTGCTTGCTTGCTGCATTCTTGTAAATTTCCGATGATTCCGGGGATTGGTGTGGTGTGTGGTGGTGTATAGGTAGTGGGTGTAGGTGTATTGATGGATATGATATAATGAGATATGATGGGTTTTTCTCAGGTAATTCAAGCTACATCATAGCAGGTACAGAACTGTAATCTCAGACAGCTTATAATTTCTTACCTACCTACGATAGGTATTGCCGATTTAAATCAATTTGTTCTTGTGTTTGTTCATGTCGATGTTGATGCATGTAAGCTTGGCTGGGGGGGATGGGGACGGGGGTGATCTATCTTACTCTAGTGACCTCAGTAAGTGAAGAAATCGAAAGGAAGTTTCGATGAAGTTTATTTTAGAGGATGTTCTGTAAGTATACATCACGTGACAAATCTCCAACGATAGGAACTGACAGATCTAGGCTGATGATATCGTAGTTGAAAACCGTGCATATATCAATATTAAAGATTAAAGATTAAAATGTACTACAAATACATCATCCCAGCAATCCCACCCAACCAACTGACCCATCATAAATCATTCTTCCTACCTCACCACATAAAATCCATTCAAACCCACCCCCGCATCCCTCAACCTATCTACTTCCATCCTCAACCCCATCTTATGCAAAGGTACTCTATCCAACTCCCTCTGCGCCCTCAACCTCACATCCGCATATCCCGTCGTAGCTCTCTCCAACAATCCTCTCCCTTGCCCTTCCCCCGTCTCCGGTACAAAAACCGGTTTATCAAGTATTGTCTGCGCAAAAACAATATCATTAAGTGAAGCGACCAACTCCTCTTCTATCTCATTTGCAGATACGGGATGCGCATCTGGACGTATGAATCCCATGACTTTGATTTCCAAATTCTTCATATCATAGGCTTGGGGATCGAAACAATCGGATATGAAATGGATTTTGAATATTCTTTTGCTGGCTTCGGTAATCGTCGCTTTGTGAAGATTGGATGCTTGCATTGGTAACGACGATATTACGGTTTGCGACCAGATATCTGTATCGAGACGCGGTGTTCCTTTGTCCGGACGTCGTCGAACCCATGCGAAATAATGCCCTCGGAGTTGATGAGATATATGTTCTGCAATACCAGATAGAGTCATGGCAGGCATACTAAAATAATCTCCCTCTTTTATTTCAATCTCAGATCGTGCTATGAAACAAATTGGATAAGGAGCTCTTGGTCCCGACTCATTGTCTCCACTTCCAGCTTGATTATATGAGAAACTTCTCATTCCCTTGTAATGAATATTTCCATTTGTGATGGTCGATTTCACCATATCCTCTGTTCCGCTTTTTCCATAAAGTGCCACGGCTGCTTCCTTCCGGGTTTTAGAAGGCATGAAAGGTTGAGCAACTTTCATTGCAGTAGATGTAACTGGAGAAACCAACCCTCCAATTGTCTTGTTGGCATAAACAGTCATAGCCATAGCCCCAAGTTCCAATGGCAAGGTACTCAAACTCGCACCTCTCATTGAAGAAGGACTTGTCGAAGCAGAAAGAATGCGGAAAACCGGACTTGGACACAAAACTTTTTTCTTCTCACCCTGACAGAGTACAAGATGGAAATAGCCATCGCTTGCTTCAACCGGTATGCGGACTACAAGAGTCTCGCGCAATATATGTTTTGGATGTTTTGTTTTCTTCAAAAATTTCTTGATATCTCGTTGCCAGGCTCGCTCATCATTTTCTTTTAGTTGTTCTGCTGAAATGGGTATTGTTGGTGTGACGTTAATCCAACTACTATTATTTCCTACAAAAGCTTTCAGACGCATCCCAGTATTCCCAGACCACCCTTTGTCTTGAAGCCATACCTGCCGATCTGGCGGTAAAGGTGCATCTGAGAAGATTGAAACCGTAAGAGTTGTAGAACAACCTTGATAAAATACTAGACCGTGTGAATGTCGTAGAATAGAAAAGTGTTTTGTGCTTTCTGATGGATGAGATATGAGTCCTCCCGCGAAATGTCGTGCTTCTTGAAATGCCTTTGAGACGTAGGATGTGGATGGAGTGGATGATGGTTCTGATGATGTTTCGTTTGCGATTTTGGGAACGTCATTGAGGGCTGGTAGATTTAAAGGGGCGACCGGGGCAGAAATTGTTCTTTCAATGTGTGTACCCGTTTGGGTGATTTGAAGGGTCTCAAAACCGGCGGGTTGAATAGGAATTGTGTGCGATTGCGACACTAAAGTTTGAGCAGCTTTGTCGTTACTATATTTCCCCGCTTTGCTGTCTTCTGATAGATTTCGACCATACTTTGTCGGATCATAGACATTGTTTCCCAAGGGCGTCGCTGGATTCAATTGGAGTGTTACGGGCTTGCGCTGGATTCGAGAGGGGTTCGCACCGTCGTAAGGCCGTAATGGCCTCGGAGTCTCACTGTATGCTGGTGGGGGCGAATAATAATCCATTTGAGTTTGTTTGTTAATTGATCATCATTTTCCGTGGTGTCAAACCGCCGATTTGAGTCCCCATTTCATTAAAATGAGTCGTTGCAGTACCATAATGGCCAAGATAGATGACTGTCGGGAATGTTTCAGTAATCTCGGTCAAAGCGTTAGTCATTATCTTGGAAGATATTGGCATTAAAAACTGGTGAATTCGCTCTTTATCATATGGACCATTGTATTCATTTCCAGAAAGCTCATATATGAAAGAATATTTTGATACCTTTTATGGTGTTCAGCTTAACGTATGGTTTGCCTTGCGCCCAAAAGATGTTTCGTGCATGCAAGCTTATTTTCCCCACCAAATCCACTTTGAACTAGCCTCGGCTCCCACAACACGTGATACACAGCTCACGTGATATCTACTTTGCATCGCGTCTGTAACCTGCATGCGTAGATTGGCATACGATTTTATATAGGCAGTAAGAACCCTCTTAGTGGGAAGGAGACGGGATGAAATATATCAATAGAAACCCTATACTACATGTTTGTACAACCTGACGAAGTCTGTCCAACAGAGAGATCGCTAATCACTTCCAACCCCAAAGGCAGCTCCTATAACAACAAGGCGAGCAAATAACTAATAATAGTCATACGGCTATATATCTCATCTATAACCTTTACTATATTCAATTGAATGTATTCAACTGATTGCTATTAGCACCATAACTGATCCCTTTGTTGTCCCCATTGTGAATTCCAACTGTACTACCGGTATTGTGAGATTGATTGATGACAGTTCCTGCCCCACTATTGTTCAACTTCTCGTCCACAGAGCTCCCTAACCACGGATCGCACCCCTCAACAACTTCCTTGAGCTCCTCTAAATTAGACTTGCTGATACCCATGCACTCCTCATCACTGAGCTCGCGGAGTTTCTCGCGGTCATTCTCCGGAATTATGTTTTCAAGATCATCGATCAACTTGCAGATGCTCTCTACAAACTTGTCAAAATGATCCTTTTTGTAAAAAACCCATTTAATGCCTTCGATGACTTTGGATGCCTGACATTTACGCTTGCCGAGAAATCCCATGAACCGGACTCGAATTTTCTTTAGATCGGTTGGTAGGCATGATTCCGGATCAAGTGGCAGCGAACTTTTTCCATCTAGCTTTGTCTGTAACCTTCTTGCTTCCCCCTGAGCGCTCAATAAGCGATCCTGAATATGACCAAGAATTTCGTTTATAGAAGCTAAATCGTATGTATACCCACTCGCATTCTTGCTGGGATTGCTAGTGATAGTGAGGCCAGCAATTTCACCCAACGAGAAAGGCGAAGTTGAATAATGTCGAGCTTTAGCTGATGAGTTTCGAAGTCATCCTTGAATTCTCTTGCAAGTTGAATGTAGCCTAGTGTGTCGACAGCAAACTGAAAGAGACTGATGGCTGTGCTAAAGCCGTCCATATTTGGGAGAAGAATCAGATACTAGTGATTTATTTGATGTTAAAAGAAAAAAAGTAGTCGTAGGCGATTTGTGATTCTTTCTCAGAATTCAAAGTGACGGAAGAAATTTATATCAAAACGGAGTCGGTTCAAATGTATGCATTCGTGCAAAATAAGTCAATCAATCATAACGACGGTTGAAATATTCATATTGCGGATTGGCTAATATCTATTATACTTGATGTAGTATTACCACTCCGCCCCTTTCAACAACACACTCAATAGAAGCTACGGCGTTGTCTGTATCTACAGACCACTCAACTCGGTTCCTTGAAAATACCAAGTAGCAGAGACCTTTTGTAATCCTATCGTGTATTATACGTGAGGAATCACAACGTGTGTTGTCAGCAAGAGTACATGTGAGGGATCTGTATGGATCAGTGTGAGGTTTATAAACATGTAAATTTACAATATCGGCGCAACAGATCAAGTTTTAATTGCTTGAAGAAAAAGATGATTATTTAGTATAGAGCCACTACGAACACCCCAGGTTTTTTTTGGGCTGTCAACTCCGGCGAGAAAGATATCAACATACCCCACTAACTTACAGATGTGAATGGTCTCCAACGAAACACAAAGTTGAGGCTTTGCATTGGGCTGAGACGATTCCGGCCTAACGCCCCACCAAAGCACCAAACAAGCTGCACCACAAAGCTGTGGCCTTTGTGCCATCCATTACAGCCCCGTTTTGTTACTCAAAATAGACGTGCAGATACCAAAACGAGGGACTAGTAGCCAACGGACAGCCACCGAATCTCGTTTCTCGACTTAGCTTAAAAATACAGCGAAACGACCCTTCTTTCTCGGCTCCAGTTCCGACTACCCTTCTTTCAATCCGCCTTCTTCTGGCCTGATAGCTCGATACCAAACAAAGGGTGCATGCTATCATTGATACACGTGCTGCCATAAAGCATGCCACACTCCACTGACAGGCACGTCCCATAAGGGGGTAAAATACAAGGTGATTGGTGGCCCATGTGTGAGTGGAGTGTTGCATACTTTCTGGCCGTACGAGCAGAGCTTTATGGTCAAGCGCTTGTGCATAAAATGCTTTCTGAGGTGGGCCAGATAACTTGTATGTAATTCCTTAGCTTAGCACGTCCTCACACCCTACGGGAGGTCATATGTCATAGGTACGGGGATCTTCTCCATCCGTTGGACATACATAAATATCATCACCACCATCACCAAAAAATTAAACCCCCTGGATCTGCAAGCTAAAAACTTTTCTGATCTGATAAGCGAGACTTCCGGCGGCCGTACGGTTGTGAAAAGACGGTCTTTTCTGCACTGTCATATCATATTATGTCAGCCCGTTTCTTCCGTGCCAGTGGCCGTTTCAAGGATTTTTTTGAATGATATCATTTGATGATATACTGTCACATAACTCATCTCATCGAATATAGATCTCATATTCAATAAGTTTCTCAAATTGCCGTATTAGTGAACCTCAACATCATATCATCGAACTGACCATAGAGCGCTAGGAGCTCGTCGGTCATACGGGTATCAGTATGTTGTTTGAACTGACCGTCGTATCAAGTTGCCATCCCTAGGTTGCTGCTAGATGATGGGATAGAAACAGTTGTAAAAATACTACCTCTTTGCGCAGCTCAATCCAACTTTCAACTTGCGTGGAATTCTTTAACGTGTGGATACGATGCAGCGATTAGTAATTCACTGCGACATACTACGGAAACTCATGTATTTGTTGTCACGATTACAATGTTGCATCCAGAGGAGTGAAATAACTACCCTATGGTGTTGTAATGTCTAATCATATACAGTCGAAGGCCCATTTACAGTCCTACTCAATAGCGGAGGTTATGCATGATAACGATGCATGGCCCAGTACATGTGACTATATCTTGACACCCACTACCACCACTATCATTGCATCTCTATCGACTCGGCTGGACTCAATCTAACTCTTAATTTAACTCCCAATTCAACAAAGACAATATCAATTATCATTCAAGTTGTCATCCTGTAGCACATCAATAGCTGATCTACAGACTAACTGTTCATCGTCATGTCTGGAAACATTAGCCATAGAATCAATCAAAACGGCAATATTGGTCTGGTGCAAGGTGTAAACTATGGTGATAATATTCGATGTAAGTTCCGGGCATTTACAATACAAGTCCCAGTAACACTCACATTTGCAGATGAAACTCAAGCAAGCAAGTCCCTGAAACATATTGCACAGGATGCACATGAAAGGACTAAAACAGCGTGGGAACATTCCGGAACATGCAGCTGGCTATTGCAGGAGACCGATCTTCAATCATGGCTGAAAATGGATGAGGAATATTCCTTTCTTTGGCTTTATGGCATTCGTAAGTTTCTTGAATCGCGTAGTTCACAACGCCATACTGATAATTATACAGGAGGGTGCGGAAAATCAACTTTGATGTAAGTTTCCAGCTTGATTGACGTTGTCTTCATTGAATACTTAAGTCTGATCCTCGTGAACAAACAATGGTTAATCTTTCTGCTGTCCAGGTCTCGTTTAATTGAGAGCACATACCAGGATCGATTTCCGATGAAAGGACATGGAGCTATACGTCTATTGTACTTCTACATCAGTGACGAAAATAATCCAGAAAGCTATCGAAACATGTTGATGACATTTTGGGACCAAGCGGTTCTAACAACCGAAGAACGATCGACCCATACTTTCGGAAATAATCGTGATACACAGTTTCTTGAGACCAAGCTACATGAACTGCTGGTTTCCTTGAAACGCGATATATACATCTTCATTGATGCTGTGGATCAACTTTATTCACATTCTCGCTATCAAATGATCATGGGACTCAACGAGATGGTTCAAAAGTTCAAGGGGACATCAATCAACCGCATCAGTGTAGCCATCAGCTCTCGTGATTGCGATGGTATGGAGAATCTACGAAAACACAAACTGTTTCCGATTGAAGTTACGGCGGAGAAAAGTAAAGGAGATATCGCAACTTACCTGTCGAAAAATCTCCATTCAGCAGTCTTACGGCGCACATCTAAGCTTAGGCAGCAGGTTTATGACAAATTAATGCAGAAAGCTGATGGGATGTGAGTATAGTGAAGCATCCTTCTCTACTTCAGCTGACATGAATGATCTTAGGTTCTTGTGGGTAAGCTTGCAAACATTGAATATCTGCAACATGGAAATGGAATCACAAATCTTAAATGCCCTAGAAAGCCTCATTCCACCACAAGAGATGCAAAGACTCTACAAACGCTATGCCGAATACTTTGAAAACACAAAAGAACCAATTGAGCAACAGATATGCCAAAGAGCGATTGCTCTTCTAGCACATAATATAGGACCAATGCCAAAAGAGGTTCTCATTATAGCTGTCTCCTTGGATGCCAAGGGGATACCAAACCAGAAATTATACCAAGAACTGAACCGCAATCCTACTATGATTATTCGCTATTGCTATTATTTGCTGCGCATGAACGAAAAACTTGGAGTCTTCCAATTCTGCCATCAAACTGTCTTTGAGTTCTTCAGAAAATACAAGCCAGAGATATACAACCATAGGATTGCCCGAGTCTGTTTATCTTACTTGTGCTCGCTGGATCTCCCTCGAGGTCTTTCGAATGATGCTACATGGTTCAACCCAGGTAGTCTTGAGACAATCCTTCAGAAGGAGCCATTTCTATCATTCGCATCTTCTAATTGGGCTACCAGCCTTGGGAAGAGCTTCGTGCCTGAAGATGGAAACAATCCAGAAATACGACATTCTGGAATTTTCAATCTGTTGAAGATACTTTTTGGCAAGGACGGAGCAGTCGAAGAGAGAGGCAATTTGCAGCTATCATTTCAGATACATATGCTCAATCTGAGAAAGAAGATACCCAAAAACATCACCTACATCCACATCATTAGCTACTTCGCTCTTTTCAGGCTGTTTGATACTTTGAGAGATAGGGGGTGGCTTAACCCGAATAAATCTGATATTGACGAGTTGAGGCCGATCCACTGGGCTATAAAGAATGAGAGTGATCTTGATGGTGCTAGCCGCACTGCTAAGAAGTTGATCGAATATGGCGCTGACTTCGATGCAAAAGACAAGGAAGGTCGCAGCCCCCTGTATTACGCGGCTTATTACGGAAATTCGAAAGTAATACAGCTACTTATAGAAAGAAAAGCTCAACTCGACTCCACAGATAAAAACAGCGAGACAGCTTTAATTGCTGCTTGCAGAAAACATCATGAGGCTATTATAAGGGTTCTCGTCGAGGCTGGAGCAGATGTGAAGATTAAAAGCCTTTTCGGTACTGCCCTTCACTTCATTTCCTCTATTGGATGTAGCCATTGTGCTGAAACAATACTTAAATATTGCGGAAAGCTCAGGAAAATTCGAAATGACGGGCCATTTGGAACTTCAATGCATGCTGCTGCATTTAATGGTCACTCAAATCTGGTTAAACTCTTTTGCTCACAAGGAATGTCTGTTCGTGTAGCAGATAGAACATACGGAAGCCCGGTGACAGCCGCAGTTGCGGGGCTTAACCCCGGCCTGGACCCAGCCCCGTTCGTGGAGATCATTCAGGAACTGATCAGAAATGGGGTGAATATCAATGACCAAAGCGGTGAACTAGGACCAGCTCTTCGTATAGCAGCATATCATGGTTATCCAAATATTGTGCGTCTGCTCTTAGAAAAAGGTGCCAAGGTCCGCAAAGCCACTGGACCGATGGGTACGGCTTATGATGCTGCATCAGACCGCGGACACGATGAAATCATGAAACTTTTGTTGGGCAGCGATCCAAATGCTGCAGACTACGCTGGCTTATCTGCCTCCAAAGCTCATGATCAGCAACAAATCCAACGCAAATTGTTCAAAAGCGCTGTCCAAGCAAGTAGTATGGATACAATCAACAAGCTCATTGACCAGTTTGTTATTCTCTTTGGAAATGAAATCAGAAAGGGTGAAACCACATTTCTTAAGCGGCTAGCAAAACTTGCCGAAAACGTCTTCGAAGACGTGACAACATTGGCAACAAAGATCCACGATGATTCCGATACACCCAAGAAAAAAAGACACTTTGGCCGCAGACATTTTCATCGAGACAGGCTGTTTAGCATTTTGTGTATGGGGTTAGCACGCAAAGATTTCGAAGATGATGATCATGATTCAACCTCAGCAATGAGGCATGCTAGTGAAGCGTCTCCCGGTTATCGCGGAGCTGCGACTAATCTGGCCCAAAACAGTTTTGAAGAGCATTTCCCACAAGTCCTGAATCTACTGACTCAAGCTGCAGTGAAGATCCTGGAGAATGCTATTGAGAATAAGGATAGAGCTGTGATTAGGCTAACTGCCAATACATGGATTGATGGATTGAACAACCTTGTCTCCTATCCTGTTTTTGGGCAGTTTATGTTGACTAAAGTGGTTCAGAGGCGTGCGGCTGAACTCAAGCAACACTTGATCGACCCAGACTTGAGCCCAGATGAAAGATTTAAGAAAGCCGAGGCTCTAGCTCTTGTGGGCATTGAACTACTTTTGACAGCCGTTGGGCGCGGCCAGAAGTTCAAGCACCTGTCCTTTGTTATTTCTAAGCTTTGGATCAAGGCTATTAACGATGTCGAGAGCCTGGGTGAAGCAGGGAAGGCACCAATAAAAGAGTTCATACGAGCTTTTGTGGAGCGGTTCTCAGAAGCAGTCACAAACAAAGATCAAATCAACGCCGAAACATGTTCAAAGGCTGGGATAGAGATCATGAGAGCAGTATCCATTGATAAGAATGAGACCTTACTGGAGAATCTGAGTAATGAATGGGTGATACAATGGACTATGGCTATTCAAAAAAATATGGAATATGTAGTCAAAGAGCCAATCCACCAAATGTTGAAAGATTACCAAGAATGCCTAAAGGACAACAAGTACAACGAAGGTATTGGTCTCGCAATTACAGGTATTGCAGTTCTTCGCTCGGCTTTCAAGCAAAAAGAAAGCCCAGCAGCATTGGTACTCCAGCCTTTCATCGAAGATGGCTTTGAATTGACGCAAAAATTTCTTGCACGGTGTGATACACCTACTGCTGCGGAAAATTTGAAATCATTTCCGGTTGAGATTCAGGATCTAAGAGCTTTGCTTAACTCCATTATCAGCTTGCTTGCGATAGAAGAGATACAGCACCACCGCTTATCAGTGAGGCCTTTGGTTTCGCAGATTCTTGATCTCGCACAAGTTACTGTAGACTATCGCTCTCAAGAACTTTCTCAAGCTTTTACCCAGTGTGTTGAAGAGGCCGATCAAATCTTCTTTCCCCTTGAGCAAGATGAGCGACTCCTTCAGATTGCTAGAACAGTTTTTTGTTTACTTGAGGTGGCGTTATATAAGAAAGAGAAATATTCCAATGTTTTGTCAATACTGAGAGGGGCGGCTCTGAATGGTATGATTAGGGTATCGACTTTCATCGGAAGTGGTCGATTGGTAGAATATGATGGAGTTATTGAGTATCTGAACCTTTATTAATATAAATAATTAAGGAAGTTAGAGCAGGAGACTGGATTACTATATTGAGTAGATTGAATGAAGAAAGTACGTTAATTGAGAGCGTAGAATGTATTGTAAGTAGGATATATTCTATCATAAAAAGATCTAAATCGGAGGCATGTACGAGACGCCCTCGTAAATCTCTTTTGATGACTAAAGTAGCTAACTAAAGTAGCGCGCAATCTAGTAATAATGATTTCGTAGAAGTAATCTCAGATGATTTCATCCTAAAATAAGTGTTAATTTATGAATCCAAAGAACGAAATGAAACCGATTCACATTATAAAAACAGAATATCTCTAACTATAAGTATACTACTTTCAAATATTCGATTATCAAACCTCTTCTGATTGAATAAGTAATGTGCGGACGCTAGGACAGAGCTGTTCCGGCCAACGAAGGAGCCAAATGCCTGAGAAACCACTTCAATAATTCAGAGTTAAAGTTAAGTTCTTCTGGGATTCATTTCAAAATGAATAACGAAGTTCTCCTAATATCCAAGTCACAATTGACTATGTAATTAAATCCTTCTCATGTTCAAATTCAAATTAGACAATCAAGTTCTTCGAGTAATACAATTCAAATTTGATATTCAGATGCCTGGGATATCATTTTGGCGTGCGATTCATTACATTCATGTGGAGCCCCTTCACCAGACCCAAAATAAGCGAAACGGCGAAATCAAATTAAGATTTTTCGTATTTGTAAAAAGTGAAGGAATAATTTTCATAACCTAAAGTTGTGGTATGCAGTACACTTGCTTCTGTTTTCCACAGGTCTCGAATTTGATACAATCTGAATGAGAGGTCAAATTTAGAGTGAATACCAAAGATGACGCACTCGAAAGGCAGTCAGTGTATCGGCATCTCTCATGCCCATAACCTCAGGACTAAAGTTCCTGGCAACCGAATCGCCGGAACGCTGCTGACATGCTCCACACGTTGATATGCTGAAATAGCAACCCCAACAAACGTCAATTAGGATTAGGCCGAATGGTCCAGTGGTAGGATTGTTGTTTCGGGATACTCTCCCCACGTATACTCGTGATAGAATATGACAGATCCCGGGTTCGAACCCCGGTTCGGCCCTCCATTTTTGCTACCTTGTTAACGTTTTGATATTGAGTATTTTGGTTGAAACCACTGTCGTTCGAAGTTTTGACATTTTTCTTTTGTCTTGGTGGGGTACACGAACGAATGACTAATGATGCCTACCTAAATAAGGGTTCTCGGGGTTGCAGATGCGATCTATGCACACTAGGAAAAACAACGAATTCCATTGAACATTCTTTTTCTTTCATGATCCTACCTGAAAATTCGAGTGTTCTAGGTCTGGTATTACTGGGAAAAGTTACCTGTATGACTAATTTCTTAATCCGGAAACTGATAAATTCCATAGCGAGAATACGTCGCCGAAAAGGGAGGGCCTTAAGAGTGCCTCCGGACTTGTGGAGTATGTAATGTGAAAATTGGACCTACCGAAAAGTTTGAAAACTTCTCACTCACTTCCCTGACAAAAGAATCATCCACTTGTCAAAACACAACTGCATGAACTTTCTGCAAAGTCGCGGAAGATGAGAAACTGGAGAGCGTACCATCAATCTCAAACCCTCACCCAAAAAACAAAAATTGACCACTGGCGGTCTCGAACCGCCGACCTTGGCGTGCCAAACCCATCTGAATGACTGGAACAGATATTAGCACCACGCTCTAACCAACTGAGCTAAGCGGCCTGATTGGATACCGGCGGCGCCGTGTATCAATTCATATTGGTTTCTCTGATCAGACAAATTCACACAGTATTTAGAGCCTGGCTCCCTGGGTATTGGAATAGCTACCCACATCTCATTGACCTCATCTTCCTGTAAGTTAGTCACAAGCAATGTGATACAGCTTTCGAGATTGCAACTGTAAGGGAATTGTTCACAGCATTTTACACTCCTGACTCGTTCCTTCCTATCTGAGATTTTTAGCAATTTTGTTAATACATAGTCTATACACAGATTTTGGGAATCACTCTATGAGCAGACAATTACACGAGTAATGACTTCTGAATTGATCTTATAGCATTGGAAGAAACTCATTGTTCAGTGATGAATGATTCTCAATTGTTAGATGAGTTCAAGTACTGGATTCATATTGGATGTTCGGATTTATTGAGAACCATAATATCTAAGCAGAAGCCTAACGTCTCGAGTATTCGAAAATTCGAAGTCGGATGCCTTTGATTCGGATTGATTGCAGCCGAACTATTTGACGAATTGTTGAAGGCTATAGTCTAGAGTCTAGCTCAGAAGGCATGTATGTATGTGTGTATTCAATTTGATAATATCAGAGTAAGTACAGCTTGCTAATCCGGTGAAATCTGGTGAAGGCAAACTAGTCGTATACATGTTTAGTTTCGAGTTCGAGAAGAGACAAATGGATGCTGATATCTACTTGCTCTGAGTCCGCCAGATATCTCTCAAGGACGTAAGTAATGTAGCAAGCAGAGTAGCCTGATATTGTCATAAGAAGGCGGCGCAGTTGTTCATTGCATCCTACAAAAGTACAAACTACATGTAAACATTGACTTCGCCAGCATAAAACTTGACATCAAGATTGAAAACAATGGCGCCTTCTGCGCAGACAGTAAAATAATTGCATATAGATTGCAACCAACTCATATTAGAAGGATAGCTAGCAAATGTACAGGTATCATATAGACAGGTATCAATTCATAAAAACTGTTGCTCTCAAAACACTCAATAGATGTAACCTTCGCTTCCAAACACCGAAATCTTTCCCTTCCAAAGATACCCACCAAATCAACGCCCAAGACAAATTTTCTACTCATCACTTTCCTCAACGGGTCCACCCATACTTGCAGGTTTCTCCGTAAGTGCTCTCGTGATTCGTGCGTAAAATCTCGCAGCTTGTGGCCTTGGAAATTCTATCTCATCAACAAGATAGTCTGGTAATAGATCCAATAAGGGTTTATCTCTGCTTGGATCTAAAAGTGGCGTATATCGACAATCTGGATCACCATCTGCCATTTTCTCGCTCTCAACACCCAATTTGAAGTGAAGAGCTAATATTAAAGTCAGTATAGACTCATTATATTAGCAAGAAATAGGGCAACTTACTACCATTACGACCTGTCTGAATACAATCAAAGACATCTTCTTCGGTTTCTCGTTTGACACCACGTATAATTAATCCGGTTAAATCACTGTATAGATCTTCTTTCAATTGAGCGGCTTGTGCCGCTTGAGCTGCTTCTTGACTTCCAATAATACGCATACCACCATTGGCTTTGATAGCACTGCCTGGAACCTTGTTATTTGCGCTTTCGTATGATGCGGTTATCTTACGATTTGCTGCAAGCTTGGTAGACAATGTCTTGTTTTCTACCTGTGCTTCTGATAACGACAATTCCAATTGATGGATCTGGGCTTGTAAATTCGTAACTAATGCGTCTTGCGATTCAATTGTTTTCTTCAAACTTCGTGCTTCTTTTGCCAAAGAAGTTTGAGTTGCTAGATTTGCTTTCAAAGAAGCGATAAGCTCATTCGATACTACTCAAGGTTAGTGCCTGACCCGATTGCCTGATTTTAAGAGTTCCATACCCTTTGTTTTTTCCTCCGCTGCCTTTTTGTATCGGTCAAAAGTTTTCTCTGCTTCCTTGACCCCGACCTCTCGTAGATCTTGGTATTTTACCTCTACATGCTCAAGTTTCTTTGAAAGTTCGCCAAGCCTGCGTCTGACAGCTGGCTCATTCCTCTCTGTATCCGAAGCACTGCCAGCTCGGTGCCGCGAAACGGACATCTGTCGTCGCCGTGAGTCGTTGTGCGAGCGAGATCCTTTCCTTTTCACCTCAGGTATGCTATCTTCTTGTTCCAATTCTTCGATATCTTCATCCATTTCCACTTCTGTTTCTTGTGCTTGAGTTTCTTGAATAACCTTTTCAGGTGACCCTTGTTCTACAACAGGCTCCTCTTGTACCTTTGCTTTGCCCTTTCTTCCTGGCCTACCCTTTTTGCCCACGGCTGCTACGATTTCTTCTGCGATTTCTGGTTCGGGATCCACTGTTTTAGTGGCTCTACCTCGAGTCGCAGTTGGTTTTTTTGTAGCTTTTGCTTCAACTTGCTTCGGCGCAGTAACCTCACCATCTAATTCATCACCTGAAGCTACATCCCCCATAGTGACATCTTCTGTCTCATCAATTTGCTCGGCCTCCTTCCCAGTATCCTTCTGTCGATTAATTTTGGCTGCCTGAACATTCTTTCTTCCTCTTTTTGCCTGGGGTGATGATTCAGGTGTTGGCTTCCCATTGATTCTTCCACTCGTGCGACGCGCCGGGGATTTTATTTTTGTAACTTTTGATGGAGCAGTCTTAGGTCTTCCTCGTGCTTTCTTCGCAGCTGTATTATCTTTTAATTGTTGTTTCGACATTGTGCGCTCTACCAAGTGGTCATCCTCTGAGTCTGATCTTATCAGTCCTGCAAGTGTTGAGTTCTTGAACTTCGACATTTAATATAAACAATGCGCTTGGATTGCGACGCGAGATGATTGAATGAGTAACACGATTTTAGCGGTGAGGCTGTATAATTGTTAAAATCGTCTTAAGTTGGCAGAGTTCGATTCGCTGGTCTGATCTGATTTGCGACAGTAGAGAACTCAAATGACTAGATTTAACAAGTGCAAATGCTGAGGCAACGGGGTAGTTCCATCCAAAATCGAGGGGAAACCTCTTGCCAAAGTAAACAAAGTTAGACGAGTGGCTTCTGTGGCTTATCGGATTTTATCCTTGCAGATCCGTGAACAGAGCACGTGTCAAAGCCTTTCATTTTTTTCAGCCACATTAGACACCGAACAAACGCCACAGCACAAGCAAACCGCCGCGATCTCGAGTCAGCTATTCAGTTCTTAGACGGACGACTGCAAAATCGCGTTTCTAGTATACTTTGATCTTAAAACTCCCTTTTCGAAGCATCGGAA